AAAGCTGCCCTCATATTATACCCTATTAAAACTGCCACGCCTACCTCACCAGCTGGCTTGTTCTTGCTGTATGCTGCACCAGATTCTAAGCACTGGCTAAAGACCTCTCTAACCTCAATCTCTCACCCAGTACCCTCCTTCAATATGTGAATGACCTCCTTCTATTAGGTCTCTATACCACCTCCAACATCTACTCACCCACAAAGCAGTCTCAAACATCTCCCCTTCATGCCTTCAATTATTCCATATGGTTTTCATTGAAAATCCCAACTTTAAATTAGAATCTAGCCCCCCTCTCAACCCTGCCTCCCTCCTCCCTGTAACCACAAGGGAGCTCTCTCACTCATGTATGGAAGCTCTAGATCATCTCCCTCATCTACCCCACATCTCTTCCACCCCACTGCCCATCCTGATCATATATGGTTTATCGATGACAGGTCCATCACCTCACCTACAGGCCAACACCAGGCCAGCTATGCCATTATATCTTCAGATAGGGTAATTGAAGTCATGCCTCTTCCCTTCAACACAATCTCCCAAAAGGCTCCTCTATAAACAACAGTCCCCTAATCTTACAACTACTTCAAGCAGCAAAACTCCCAACACAAACAGGAGTCCTACACTGTAGGAGTCATCAATCCACCAATGACCCCATCTCACAGGAAAACAATAAGGCCGACCCACAAAGCAAAACTAGCAGCCATGTTCCCACCTCCGTCCACACAAATGCTTGCTGTTCCCCCTTAACACCCCTCTATAACCCCCTTGAAACACAAGAATGGCTTCAACATGGAACCACACTTTCTGGGGTCTGGCTTCTTCTCAAGGGACTATACATACATTCTCCCCAGGTCACAGGTCACACACATCCTCACAGATATACACATTATCCTTCACATAGGGCATGAACCCCTACTCTGCCTCCAATGACCCAAATTTTACTGTCCCAATATGCCCTCACTACTCCAACAAATAACTCATACATGCCCCCTTCCTAAGGCCATTAACTATAATCCTCCTGATACTGTTATTTGGCCCATGCCTGTTTCGCTGTCTTAAAAATGTGTTTCAACTCATTCCATCTCACAGATTGGAACAGTGAAAGCAGTAATGGGCTCAAGCATAGGAAGGACTGTGAGGTTGGAGCTTGACTGGGCAGTGTTTAGTTCCTTAGCACATAAGCTTGCTCAAAGTTGTTATGGACACCATGGTTTCTAACAAATAACATTCAACTAAGGAATTAACTAATATTTTACTGGAATGTGTAAACACAAAAGCAACAGAATATAGAATTTTTGTTTACATATGAAATAAATACATGCACACAAAGGTATGAATGTAAAAGAACATAAAAAAATATAGAATCATTAGAACATTTCTTTATTATTTTCATATACATTATTATTTTTCACTGTTTTCTACCGTGTAACATATACAATTTTCTATACTTAATTATAGGAACCCTGGTACGGCTATGTAGAATAATGCACTGCTCTACAAGATCAGTTTGAACCAGAAAGTTGGAGGCTCAAATTCACCAACAGCTCCTCAGATACCCTAGATGGAGTCACTGTGGGTGAGAACTGATTGAATGGCACTTAATAATAACAATACTTAATTATGTTGCAAGTCATATTTCATTATCAGTCCACAAGGGTAAAGGGCTGAGATTATAATCATCATTTAAAAGTTTTTAACTATTCATGTATCAATTATTTTACCCCCAAATAATTTGCAAAACACCAGTGCATATTCTTCATAACAGAGAAAATTGTGCACTCACAATATTGCAACAAAGGAGAACTTCCCAGTGTTTCCAAGGCTGTGAATCAATAAAGAACCAGACAGCCACATCTTTCTCTCTCAGGAGCAGGTTGATTCATAGCTGAGTGCTTTAGCACTGTAGCCTTGGGCTCCTTAAGTTTGCAAATATGCACATATCCTAATGGTGGTGGTAGTGCTTTTGTGCCCTGGCATCAGAACCAACTCATAGCAACCCTGTAAAGGGTTTCTGAGGCTGTAAATCTTTACAGGAGCAGAAAGCCTCATCTTTCTCCTGCAGAACAGCTGGTAGTTTCAAACTGCTGACCTTGCAGTTCACTGCCTAATTGGTAACCAATATGCTACCAGAGCTCCTTCATTCTAAAGGTAATGAGGAACATTTATTAGCACTGCCTTAGCAGCTTTGCTTTTCAGTTTTTGAGATTTAACTTTTACTATAATTCTAGATATGGCACTGTGGGTTAATGCACCAGAATGCAAATCCATTTGATTTGCAGGGTCCACAGTTCAAGCTCAGCAGCTGTCCCTCTGAAACCCTATGTGGTGTCACTATGGGTCAGAACTCAATGGCATTACACAATGGCATTACACAGCAACAACAACATAATTCTAGAGGGAATCCTAGTGTGGGGTTGTAGATAAATGCTCTGGACTGCAAAGTTGATTTTAACCGCAAGGTTGGTGGTTCAAATTAACCACCTACTCCTCAGAAACCCTATACAGGTTCGTTCGTTGTGGGTCAGAACCTACTAGACTATACTTTATAACCACATAATTCTAGGAAACAAATGGGAATATATATTTTTGTCACTTAACAAAACAAAAAATACTTAGAGTATTAGTAACTTATTAGGGTTATGTCCATAGAGTAACTGACCTAGAAATTAAAATCAGAAATGTCTAATTGTAAAACAAGGACTCTTAACCACTGTGCTCTATACTTCTTTTCTGCATAATACATCAAATAACTAGTGATTTTTTTTTAGTTTTGCTTAAATCTAGCTCTTATCCAAAACAGAAACAGAGAGTAATGCAAAGACTAAATTGTTTTTAGAGAGAAACATGAACGGCATATCCAATATGACTTTACATATTTAACATCACTCTCATCTGAAATTCCTGGTGCTCCCTGTCTTCTGCATAACTCTAAGGACAGCATTTTTCACTTCTTTGTTCCTAAGACTATAAATGAGTGGATTCAGCATGGGGATCACAATAGTATAAAAAACAGAGGCCACTTGGTCTTTGCCCAAGGAGTAGGACCTACTAGGCTTTAAGTAAGTGAAAATCGTGGAACCATAGAAGATGGTGACTCCCAGGAGGTGGGAGGCACAGGTAGAGAAGGCTTTTCGCTTACCTGCTGTGGAATTGATCTTCAGGATAGCAGAGAGAATGGACACGTAGGACACAGAGACTATGATGAGAGATGCCACTAAAGTGGATCCAGCAAAAATGAATATAATGATCTCAACATTATGTGTGTCAGTGCATGAGAGGGCTAATATTGGGGATGTGTCACAGAAAAAGTGGTGGATTACATTGGATTTACAGAAATGTAAGGTGCTCATGCCAAGCAGAGTGACAGTGGAGTCAATAAAGCCAATCACGTAGGCTGCAGTGACGAGGGAGCAGCAGAACGTAGTGGACATAATAACTGGGTATTGTAGAGGGTTGCAGATAGC